TAAAGGCCCAGTTACCATGTTCCTTAAATATGGATACACAGATCAATAAAAATGGCACTAACTGCTTAAAGGCATTTAAAAACAAAAAAGTAAAGTGGAGGTGGTTACAGAGATGGACCGCAAAGTAAGAATGAAGACTGAGCTAGAGACTGTACATTAAGGGTACAGCAGATGACTTGCCTACCAAAAGTCCTCTTTACTGCCTAAAGATCCTTCTGGCACTACTACATACCAGGGTAGGACTTTTAGAAGGGTTTTCTCCCCATCCCCTCTTCAGTTTAAGGCATTAAAATGGTTGACTATGCTGTTTAGTAGATCTATACAATTAAAAGAATTAGAGAGGTTTCATAGACATTAGGGCTGGAAGGGACCAAGAAAGACTGAGTTCAGCCCCCTGCCCCAGGGGCAGGAAGTTAGCCAGGGTTAAAGGATCCCAGCAAGATAAACATCCAAATGTTTCTTAAAGGAGTCCAGAGTAGGTGCTTGCAGTTATTCCTTATGTCCAGCCTGAAATAGTCTTGGAAAAGTTTGTGACCGTTTGACCTCATCATCCCTTGGGGTGCTCTGGTGAACAGGTGTCCCCCCAGATCCTGATGTCCCCCCCTTATATACTTACAGGCAGCCACCAGGTCCCCCACACTGAGCCTGTGCTTTTCCAGGCTGAAAGTCAGCCTCTCATCATGGGGCCTGTTCTCCTGCCCTGATCATGCATGTGGCTCTCCTCCGGACTCCCTCAAACTTCTCCACATCCTTTTTAAATTGCGGAGCTGGAGTACTGGATGCAGTACTCCAGCTGTGTCCTTACCAAGGCCAAGTACAGCGGAAGGATGACATCCTGGGATCTGCTTGAGAAGCATCTATGGATGCAAGCCAAAATTTCGCTTGCTTGCTTTACCAGCTGCAATATCGCATTGGTGGATCATATTCATCTTGTGGTCAATCATGACACCCGAGTCCCTTTTGGCCATGGTGCTAGCAAGCGCAGCCTATAAGCGTGCTGTGGGTTCCCCCCATACCCCAAGGTGGAGTACCTTGTATTTGTCTGTGTTGAATGCCATCAAAATTTTCATCTGCCCATTTTCTGAGCCAGCTGAGGTTGGCCTGGATCACCAGGCTATCCTCAGGGGTGGACACTTTACCCAAAGTTTGGTGTCATCAACGAACTTGACCAGTCTGCTTCCGATACCAATGTCTACATCATTAATAAAGATGTTAAAGAGTATAGGCCCAAGGGTGGAGCCTTGGAGAACTCTACTGGTCATAGTGCACCATGATAATTTACTTCCATCTATTACCACTCTCTGGGTCTGACCTTAGAGCCAGTTCCCCACCCATCAGACTGTGATGTGGCCGAGGCTGTAGTTGGCCAGTTTTTCTATGAGGAGATCATGGGACACTAGGTTTTACATTTCCTTTGCAGTTTGCCTTAGTCACCTTGAATTTACTTGTCACTTCTTCAAATTCATGAATCTTCAGTTGTTTTTCAGATTGAAAACCAGATGTTTGTTGTACAATACACATCTTATTTCACACAGATTTGACAATTTAAAAACATTACAAAAAGTTGAGGTAGCTATTCTGATTAAATTACTTTGAAGTGTGGTTCTATTTGGAAGATCACTAAAAATAGCTGTAGTCTCTGTGATTATTTCCTGATTTAATAAAAAGAGGTATATAGTTGAAGCTTCTACAAGACAGATGAAAGTCAAGTTGTTGATCAGCAAGGTCAGAGAATACTTTCATTTAAATACTAGGGAAGCTAACAGTGGGAGAGAGCCACCTTGCTGGACTAATAACATTTAAAAAAAACCCAAAAAAACAAAACAGGAAGCCAAGATATAATTATGGGATCCCAATATCATTTTATAAACATTTCTTAAATCTAACATGCATGAAGCACACTGAAACCTAGCATAAAAGTCTTTAAAAAAAAATCTTTAAAAAAAAATTAAAAATTCTTCTAAACTGAACTTTGTTCTCCAAGTTTACGTGCATATAATAAGACAGCAAGAGGAACACCTGACAAAAATGCTTATTTCTTTCCAGTTCTTCCTCCACATCCTTGCCATCTCAATTATTAACAATTCATCTGCATACTTGAGTGAAATAAACATCCAAACTGAAATGTATCCAAAACTTTACAATTTTTAAGGATCCATCTCTGTCTGTGGATGTATCCATTATCTGGAGGCTGAATTGGTACCTCCACCATTAATATACACTTGCACAAATGTAGGGATTGTACTATAGGTACAACCTGCTACACCTTAGATGTTACTTTACAATGAAGACACATTGCAAAACAGTGAGATTTTATTTTAAAACAGTTTTGTGAGTAGTAAAGGATTGATCAAGCTATTTATGTTCCTGGTTACCAATCCATTAAAACTGTTACTGAAGTGAAACTAATGTAGTAGCTACAAAATTAGAATTCTATTCAATGCAGAAAGGTATTGCATATATTTGTTGTTATATATTAGATGGAATTGACCTACATAAAGAAGTAGACTGAAGAGAGTCAAGTTTTCAAAATTTCTCTTTGAAAAAGATGGTATCTTACAGTACATACAAAAATACTCTGAAAATACATACAACCTCATTTACAAAACAGCGAATTAAACATTACGATAGAAATAACAGAATTATGCAGGAACTGAATCCCTCCTTGCTCCCCAAAACTTGAGCGTATTAAATGGGTACTACGTATTATGAACATTGCATAATTTGTTTACATGGAGACTGATGATGGTCCTAACGCAATTAATTTCCAGTCACTCTGAAAACCTGCTGCAGGGTTTCAATAAAACCCAAATACCCACTTCAGCATGTTTAGTTCGTGGAAGCGTCTTGAAACTGTAGAATAGTGGGACAGCAAATGTCATGACAAGTTTATGTATTTTGAGTGATTTAAAATGTGCTGCAGTTGTGGAATTTGCTTGTTTCACTATGGGGGAGGGGAATAGAGGACAAATTGTTTGGAAGCAGTCTTAAGAACCAAAGTTATACTATATAATCCATGCCTCCCATTTCAGTTTCTTTACCAGTGGGGTTTTAATGGTTGAATTTTGATTTGTTGTTGTTGTTGTTTTTTGTTTTTTTAAACATTTGGGCCTCCATGGGAGGCAGAACATACAAACTTGTGTAGTGCATGGCTATGTGTTTAATACTGAAAAGCAACTGCCCATAGAAGCCAAGTACCACTGGTGACAGATGCACAGGATAATATGCACCAAATAGGAAAAAAATCCAAATTACAAGTATATCTACACAAAATTAGGAGAGGAGGAAAAAAGGTATCAACACTTTCATACACACTTCAAACCAGAATGTGGCTCCAGTGGCTAACAGAACATATTTATGTAGGAATTATTCTAAACCTTAAGTCACAGGGAGGAGTTTTTTTGGGGGTTTTTTTTCTGGCTTTTTCTAGAGTTTAACAAGTAGAGACTGTTAAACAAAGCTTTTTAAAAGACTAATAAGGACTGCTGTTGCAAGGGTGTTCAAAATGAGAAGTAAACCCAGAAGAAACAAGCATGTAAACTAGAGAATTAAAAACCTCAGAGGCCATGATTCTGTAGATAGTGGCTTGTCAGCAGGCAAATCTTGGAAAAGCTACACAGTAATGGAAGTATACTACAGCATCTGCAGGTCAAAATGTAGACAAAAAAATATTGTAACTAGGTAAAATATTTCCAATTTGGTGATAACTCTCCACATACCTTTATGAAAGACTGCAACTACAGTAATAATTGGTTGTTTATGGAGCCATTAAACAATTGCATGTTATCTTTACCTGAAGAGGCACAGCAATCACCGGTTAAGTGTTAGTCTGATGGACTTTTTAATGATGCGAATGTTATTTGTAGGAACAGGAGAGGATAAGTCAGGTAATTCTTTACTGGGAAGTCTCTACAATAGAAAAAAGGAAACGGAGCAGGGAAGCACAAAGTTTGGTAGAAAAAAAACACAACTTCTTCAGCTAAATATACATAAACCCCAAGCTCTACATCAAACCAAGATGCTTGAAAGGTAATGGTCCCACCACCTCACCTGTTAGGCCTCTAACACATTTGCAGGTAAAGTTGCTGGTTTTCACTGTGGTGGTGCTTAAGAGAATCTAGAGAAAAGGCACCACTCCCCCTGTAATCTCTCCCCTAAAAAGTTTTTACTACACTGAGCAAAGGTGTAGGAAGGAGCAAAGAACACTAGTAACAGAAGAAAAAAAAAAAGTGCTGCTCAAAAGCATCTGGGCACTCTAGTCTCTTCTGGTCCAGGAAGAGGCAGGTATTTCTTTTCAAGTTTAATATTCTACTTCATGCTGCATTTTGTTATTCCAGCTTTACTTCAAAATTGGAATAAACATTTAAAATAAAAAAACCCACAACCTGAAGTATAATATGAATTTGCTTCAAACTTTTGGCACTGAAGTCCTATATTGCCCATGTAGTGACTGCCACATTGAGCTTTTCAAAAGAACATGATACAAGAGTGAAGATTCTAGTGAGTGGGCACGTCTACATGAGATGCTAGCTACACAGCAGCTGAATAATACTGTGTAGTGCATCACAACACAAATAGTGCTAATATGCTACTGCGCAGTAGCATTACTAAAAAGGCAAATCACTACCGTTACTGTGTATTTATTTAGTACTTGATTATACCAATACTAAATAAATGTGCAGTAGCCTCTCGTGTGAATGTGCCCAGTAAGAAGGCAGTTTAGAAAGAAGAGGGTTTTTTTGCTTAGTTTTTCTTCTGAAATGGCTGAAACCTGAATGCACAAGACTGAAACTTTTTGAATTTGCAAAAAGTACAATCTTTCTCTGGTTGCATGCCTAAACCCTGTAGCATGACAATGTGCAAATGAGAATCTCAGTTAAGTCAGAGATATGTGAAAGGAGCAGAAGAGAACTGCACAAGTAGTCAAATCAAGTCATGTGTATGCAGTTACATTAATCAATGCAGAAAAATATTCTAGTTTTGCTTTACCTGTGAACATAAAGACTTAATAGTTAGTACCTGTAATCTTGATGTGCTGATAGTTGGAATAGGCATGAATTCCCCTCCAAGCTCATCCTAAAAAGACCCCAGAAATTTTAGATTTTTTTAAGTGAAGTTCTTTTCTGCAGAGAGCAATGTCAACTTAAGGAATAGATGTTAATTAATTACGTGCCTGCTATATTTATATGGCTAATCCCTCCTAACAGTCTTAGCAGCCCCATATCAACACTTTCGAACTATAGAAGACATTTGACTATGTAAAGATAAATAAGAATTTTTTGTTTTAAAAACAAGGCAACACTTTTATCATAGGATGTGCCAACTTAATACTTTATCTGTACTTGTTACTATGAATCCACAAGTCTGAGGAAAGGGTAGAAATGCTTGAGCCTTTAAAATTGTTCAAAGTTTAACTGATTGTTTTTAATAATGTTGTGGTTGTTTTGCCTCCACTTCAGGCTTCAAGAAGTGCCCAACTCTAGGTGGTTTCCCCCAAATCCCTTTTTCTAACAAGTAGAAGCACAAAAATTTTAAATTTTGATACAAGGAAGTCCAATAATAATGCTAATAATAAACGTGTTCTCAGAACAAATGTGCCAAGTCACAAGAATGGAAAAAGCATGATAAAAGCAAAAAAGACAGGAAGAAAAATATTTTTTTCCTGTTTAACTACAACACAATGAAGTATATTCTTGGTTTATATTCCAAGTAGAATTTAGATACATTTAGCTACCCTAGACAAAAGTACTCCAAAACCAATGCTTCAGCTTACATTTTTTCCTGTAGATTTTCTCCTTACATCATCCTGTGGATTGCCATGGCTTCTGAATGCCAAGTCCAATCCAATTAACTGGAAGAACAGAATACATGAAAAACATTTATGTTAGTGCTTAGGAACCCTAAAATGCAGGGGTTACACATTTTGTACAGTTGGCAACAGTTAAGTATAGCAAAAGCTTTTACTATAAAAATGCAATCAAAGATACAGATCAAGTAGTCTATTATCATTCATACCTTTAACATGCACTAGAAGTTCTTGCTTCAGAACGGATGACTTCTTTTGAATTTCTGAAAAAATAAAGCCCTTCCCCGCCTCTCCATCTCCAACCCCAGCTCTTTAGTGCCTTTTCACTATATAAAAAGGCAGACCAAATTGGCAGAGACTAATTAAAAATAGTTAAAACACATTAGTGCTCAATCCATGGAAACTCCGATACAAGTTTCTATGTAAACAGAATTTAACCTGCAACTCGGCATTCCACTGATTTCAGATTCTGATAACCTGCCAGGCATGCCAAATAGATAATTTGTAAAAGGCTACTTAACAACTGAGGTACTGTATTAAATATAGTGTGGAAATAAATTAAATTGCCATCATCACAATGTCTTTAGAATGCCATTTCCTACCCCCCAATGCATTTCCCCTTTGTACCTTCTAATGTAACCATCAGACAGAAAGGCTCAGTTGTGTAACACTAGAAGTAGTAATACATTCACATGCCTACCATTTTCAAACTTACCTTAGCATTTAATCATTAATATTTTAAGAAGGAAATTGCTTGCTTTGTCTACCCTCACCATTGTATGAGATAAGCTAGGCATCTCACCCTATGGAATTCTAACTAAACAAAAGAACTGATTGCTTTTAGAAAGTTTCTTACATATACTTTGCTTTGGTACTACCAACATCTACTGGAAGTGGAGAGAAAAGGACTCACTTAAAACCTTTAAAAATAATTCTATGATCCATATAATATTTGGACACGCAACTCTACTCTGAGTTGCATGCATGCAGCTCTACTCAGGTCTTTTCTACTAAATTACAGAGCTCCTTCTGTGCTTCAGAGAATGTTAAGCAAAGTAAAAGTCTGTAGTGTTTGTGCCCTTTCACTAAAGGACTAAATGCAGAATAAAAGCCTGAAAGGGCTTTCCTTTCCCTACCCCCCAGCCCCCAACACAAACACTTTTAAGACAAGTAATTGTCATTAGTCAACTAAAGAGTTCTGAACAGTTTACTGAAATGCTCCATCCCTTTAGAGGTACTCAGATCTCCCCATCTGTCAATCTGTGATGCTGATGGTTCAAAAATTAAAGTCAGGCTTCTAAGTTTCAACACCTCTTAAATGAGGAATATGCATCCATGTCAACTGGTGTAGTATGGAGATTTTTGTGGTTAAAAAAAACCAAACAAATAAAACGCAAGCACAAAGCCAAAAATCCCTCAGTCATTATGTAACAAGGACACAAGCTTAGCTTGAAAGTTCTTTCCATGTTACACAGAGCATCAAGTTAGCTGTTGCTCCTATGAAAAAAATTATACTACCTTGAAAATCAAAATGGCACAAAACCACCTGTTTTACTATTCAAAGAACTCACAACTATTACTGTTAATAATCATCAGCATCAGATAAATTACTTTCATTCACTGAAAAAATAAACATTCTATGTTAAACTCTAGACTAAATCTGCAAGCCAGATTTCACTAGTATAAGAGCCTCATTAGGAATATAAATTACCTACAGTTTACTTTGAATTTGTCTATATACACCTCTCCCCAACTCTGTCAACCTTTAATTATATGCTGAAGACATGCAGTTCTTAAGCCTTTTACCTTTTCTCTGTCCTTCAGTCGTTTGGGGCATTCTTCTGAGGAAGGCGAGTGAGGTCTCTTGGGTGCAACACTTTTAGCGTTCATTGTTGAAATGCCGTTTAGATGCTGCTGGCCTCGGGCAACTTGAGGTGCAACAAGTCGAGGAATCACATTTCGTCCTACTACTGTAGGAATAGTGCATCCAGCTGGAGATGTGACTTTTATGGTGACTGTAGTCTCCCTCTCTATGAAGAACAAGCCTTTAAAATTTAGTTATCAAAAGAGCTAGAAAAACAACTTATGTTTTCCTCACTATTTGAATACATACTTGATGCAATAACTGGAATGGACAATCCTTTAACAGGTACTGATGCAGATACATCTGGCTTCTCTCTACTGGTAGCAACACTGGTTCTCTGGACTACAGCACTGCTGTAAGGAGAAATTTCATAGACTTACATTTCAGAATAAAGTTCTAGTCTTTTCTTTAAAAAAAAAAAATCACTCCTTGCCATGCTACCCCATTGTTTTAGGGTTGTTTGTTTTTTTGGGGGGTTTGGGGGGGGGTGTTAAAGATCAACAAAAAAAAAAAGTGATAATTCCTCAGCTTATGGGAAATGCAAGTCAGTGGAGCTATACAGACTTTATTATGTAGTTAAGGATTGGACTAACAGTGCCCTTATGCATAAAAACTTCCCTTTCAGACTTCAGATTTGAGCCTAAAACAAGTATTTGTATTAAAAAAGTATTTACATTAAATTTATTAGGACAGCTCCATGCCTTGGTTAGTCCTGGTGCACCACTGGATGCTGGCAACCAGGGCAGCCAGCAGAAATAGCAAGACAAGTGTTGCATCTCCCACCCCAACCCTGCTACAGAACTGCCAGAAAGACTTCTACAATAAAAAGGTTGCATAATAGTTCAAACCTGTCTGATTCTGTTGCTTTGTCCAACTTAATTATCTTGCTTAGTGAAGGAGAACAATATGGTGTCCCTGTATCTGCATCTCTGGAACTGTCCGAACAGATCCTTTTGGACTGAAGGCTGCCAGCATTTCGACTGATGTCTGGTATGCTCTGATAAAAGAAAATGAAAGTACAGAGGGTTTACAAAGTGTATTTTCACATTTTTGGGTGTACTTGATTTTACAAAAGGATGAACTTTGATCATACCTTCCTCCTTTTCTGTAAAATTTCCACAGGCAAATAATAGTGAAGTTGCTTTCTCTTTACATGAGTTGCTTCAATCCTCATGCCTTCTTTTAGCATGTTGATATTGTTTGCCTGCCTGTAAACTGTAACATGCAATTAAGCAGTTTAACAGTTAGTTTAAGTTCCAGCTCCTTCAACCAAAATTACATCTTTGTAAAACTGTTTTGGAAAGAACAATTAAAAAGAATACACATGCTGCAAGCATCGAACTGGAAATCTTCCAGCATTCTGAAGCTTATTTAAAACTAAAGCTTCAGTAACAGAAGCTACAGCATCACAAATTTTTCCAAATCCAGGCCCAGTTCTCAAGAAGATGAGGACAGCAGAAATGCATGCTGGGAAGTCCATTTTATATCCAATCTAGTCCATGTAACATTGGTAATTTGTGTTATAACCTTGCCATTTAAGTTCAACATCTTTTCTATAAAAATAACTGACTGCAATCTTTAAGCATCAAACATAGTAAAAGCAAGAAGGATTTTTTTTTTTTTTTTTGAAAGTGACCAAAAATTGATTCCAATTCACTGAATTCAAAGTCTAGTTATGGGCAAAACAAACAAGCTTATTGCAGGGTGTGGAGGAGAAGGGGAGCTTTATGGCATGCCAGCTATTCTGCAAACATAGACCATGCACTGACTTTTCCCCTCCCATGACAGGTGAACAGTAGAACTGAGAATTTAGGTCTTCATTAGGCCCCATGTTTTTTGAAAGGTTGTATTTGCCCTCGTGACCAAAGATGCCTTGAAACTACAACACAAATAAAATAATTAAAATGTCAAGCAATGCTGAAGTATAAGAAATCCAGTAAAAGCTTCAGATGTCACAAGTATTCTTGAGACCGAGGCCTTGTAACCAACTTAACCTGGTACTCACGTATTCTTGCTCACCAGATTTTTATTTAAAAGGAGAAAGGCGAAAGGCATACCAGGAAAATAAGAACTTACATGCTAGCAGATGTATAAACACATATCTTCTAGATTCAATTAATCTTTGGTATTACATGTTACTAGAATTTAAAAGAGGGTCAAGTTGGCTTTGCCACTTTACTTCTATAGTTAGGGACCTACTTAACTCATAGTGAAACAAAGCTTTGTCCCAGCACAAAGAGCTCATTTTACAGTAGCACCACCCCTCAGCCCTGATTGGCAGAGAGGCCCTGGGGTGGAGGGGGGATTGATGGTCTCTCTCCATCCCCCCTCCCCCATATTTAACATATGGGAAAGAGCCCCTCATCTTGATTTCAAATACCAGGTGAGGAGAGGAAGGGAGGACAGGCAGATGCTCTGGTTCCAGCCCTGACCCAGGATTAGAGTTGCAGCAGTTTCCTGTTTTCGCACTGCCCTATGTACCATGTCCCCCAGCTGCATGGTATGGTTATTGCAGGTATTCTTCCAAGAAAGATTATTTTACAATGGGTAACTTCCCATTTTGGCAAACACTGGTTTTCCTATATATTCCGTCTCTGAAAATTCACAATTCTGGAAGATGCATAATCTCAAACTAGTAAAGCATCAGTCTTGCAAATTAGCTGACCAAGACTAGAGTAGAATACAATTTTACCTGTATCTGTGAATGACTGTATATCATATGTTAAATCAATACTAACGCTTTCTGCATTCTCCACTTTCCTAAAAATGATTCCAAGAAACCACATTGATACATAGTCACTCCTATGGAGAAAGGAAGAAAAAAAAAAAAATGTATACAGGTTTACAAGTCTACGCATAAATACCAGCTTCCTTTGGGAGTCAAATTTTACCATGAATAAAGAGGGATAAGTTAAAAACATAAAATTTACCTGTACACTAAAGTCATTTAAGGATGCAGTCTGCACTTAACCTATGAAGCGTTTTGGTAGACCATCATAAATACAGTACCTCACTAATTCTCAATATACCTTAGGTATGTTTAAAGTGATACACAGAAATCAAGAATCATGCAAGTAGTAACTTTTCCAGAAGCTGTAATTATTTCTGCAAGCTTTTTTGCCACACATTTCATGACTAAACACCAACAATGTGTAACTTAGCTTTTTAAAAATGTGGTGGTCTGCATTGTTAAATTTTTTCTTCAAGTTAAAAAAACAAATAAACAAAAGCTTACTCTTTATATTGTTCTTTGTTGCCAGGGAAAGACTGTGGATTTACATGTGCAATATTGATAAATTCATTCCTCTCCAAGTTTCCAACAAGTACACGGATTTTAGATTCGACCAGACCAACCCTAATAAGAACAGAAAGTGTTAAGTTTTACTTTACTTTAGTGCACAATATAGTTAACTCCCTCATAATTCAGAAAGGATCAAGCACCTGCTTAGTTAGCCAACGTAAGTGAGGGAAACCAAGGTAAAGTGGGACTGTGGCCACGGATGATGAGGGGTGCAGCACCTTGCAGACCTCTCGCATAGAGATTGGGGCCTGACACTGCCCTTCACACCAGGACAGTACCCTGAGGGGAGACCTGGAGGAAGCACATGGAGGGGCTACAGGGGAAGCCTCCTCATTCCTCCTGAGAAAGGAGGGTAATCAGCTAGTCAGCTCAGGTGCACCTGTACAGAAACACATGGAGCCTGGGAAGCAAGCAGGAAGAATTGGAAGTCCTTGTACAGTCAAGAATGTGACTGGAACAGCAGACTTGGTGGGATAGCTCACATGACTGGCGCACTGTCATGGATGGGTACAAACTGTTCAGGAAGGACAGGCAGGGGAGAAGAGGAGTTGTGTTGCATGTAAAAGCTATATGATTAGTCAGAGCTCCAGTATGAACCGAAGGTGCAGACCCCTTTGAACGGCAGACGCGAATATTCACACACTTTTGATTGATTATAGTAATCTTTGCAGACTGTCTAAGGGATCTGCAGGAGTCCTAGGGGTCCACAGGTTGGAAAAAAAAAGATACTGTACTAGAAGATTTTAGTGTGCTAACTATGGCTCTCTCTTCATAAAACTAAGCCATGTATGCAACAGAAATGAAAAAGAGGTATCTATTTATTTGAACTTTATTGTATGCAAGATGCATTGCTTTTACATTCTGAATTGTATAAACACTAGGTATCAAAACAAACCTACAGCTAAACACAGACTCGTTGACCATGGTGTTCTGTAGACAAGCCTAAGCATACAATATAGAATAAAGTGATTCTCAGCCACATTTTACAGATTATTATTGTCAAATAACTTCTTATGACAACTAGCAATCTATATAAAATATAAAATCATGAACACCGAAGTGTTGCAGCAAATATGACAACTGCATTTTATGCCGTGTTGCATGTTATTCTTACTTACATAAATACACAAAGAGCTAAAGTACTTATGGGTAGGGGTCTACCCAACTTGAGATAGCAACTGGCTAATTTTGCAGGCAGATTGCAGCGCAGGTTGCTATTTGAGGACTTATGGCCAGTGCTTCCCAATGCCTCCGGCTGAGGGGCCCCCGTGGCCCTGCCCCTTGCAGCTGATTGGCTGTGAGGGCTGTCCATCACATGGCTCCACCACACCACCAACTGGAGGGGATGGGGCTGCACAACAGGCAGCCCTCAGCCAAATCAGCGAGGGGGTAGAAGCCCTCTTAGGATTTCATGTGCGCCAGCAGCCACCCCTCCACCCTCCTCCCCACCCCCAACTGTTCCCACAGTTGGGTCACAATGTTGCGAGGACTACAAGCTCCTCTGGGGAACCAGCATCTTATTTTCAGTAAGTATACTCCCCCACCCTTCCTTGTCAATTTTATAAACATTGTCCACAAAAAAAAAGTCACCATTTTGATAGGTCCCTACTCGTAGTAACTATACTGAACCAATATACTGGTAAGCATCTACAAGTCCCCCTTTTGGGCTTAGACATTTTGCTATTACCACAACTGCCAGCTTAATGATGCTTTCCTACATATGACAACATGCCATTGTCCCTTTACTGAATTCTCTTCCCAGGACCAATTACTACAGTGTATTTGGAAGTAGGAGTGCTAGAACAGGGTGGTTAATAGAGGGGCATGCAAAGGGAACACTGAAGGAAGTATGGGAAAGGCTTTGGTGTCTGTGAATAAAAGAAAAATGCATACAAACTACTGAGAGAGCAAGAGCATGAGTGAGCAAAAGCAAGCCTTAAAACAAAAGCAAAAGGAACTAGAGCCAAATTTTAGTCCTTACACTGAGAAACAAAAATCAGAAGCGCTAGATAAATACTAAATTTGAAAAAAAAACAAAACAAAACAAAAAACCAAATGCCCCCCCCACCAAAACAAAACCCTGTAAAAGCCAGCTTGTATTAGAGGAAGGGCAGGTACTGTATTTACTTGACTAAAGCAACCCCCCCCCCTAAAAATTATATTCTAGATATGAAAATGTTATAGTTTTCTAGGTACAGAATCTAATTATTGGAGGTCTGCCTTGAATTTGTCCCCTTCCCAATGCTACAGCACAGAAAGTCCATCTGGAGGGGAAGGTGTCTTTTCCCTGTTGCCCTACTTTACTGTCAGACCTTGCTCTCCCTGAGCATATGGAAGTGAGGGGAAAATTACTACAGGAACCCATAGACTTGGTTTATCTGGAATTGACGCAGTTTACCTCCTTTGAAAACTGCTAACAAGTTTTAGTACAGGTACTCTATAAACATTTTAGGCAGCACTTTTTTACCACCTTGAATATAATACAAACTGGCTACATCTACACAAGACACTGACTGTGTAGTAGCCAGTGACTACTGCACAATAGTGTTGTGTGGCAGAAAAGTGTGATGCAATGCTACTCCACAGCAGTATTAGGCTACTGCACAGTAGCATTAAAAAAAAAAAGGCTACTGTGCAATAACTCCAGTTCCTGTCATTTATTTAGTAGTTGTTTATATGCAGTAGCATCTTGTGTAGAGATAGCCACTATGCATGATATTAGTCCAAGACTAAAAGGCTCATGATTTACCATATAGATTCTGGGGCCCAGCTCAGTGACCAACAGCATTTCAAGGCATGGTGACCCCACAGAATAGCACTGTTCAGTATGTGTGCATATTCCAGATACCACTCTCCCCTGTCCCGCACCCAAGGATCCACACGCTAGTTAGCCCCTGCTCATGACTAGATCTGGGTGTTCTTGTCACGAGTCCTGGAATCCCCCAGAAATTTATCTGCAGATGAGGTACAGGGCAACCCAGCCCAGTCCAACCTTGTGGAGGGTGGAGCCGCACTAGTCAGATGCAGCAGGTTGTTTTATATAGTCATGGTCAGGGTTGGGTGCATTTAATCAAATTTCACAGGTGGTTTCCATTGCCAAGTACAAGCTGTTGTTGGCAGCAGTTTAATGATGGATAACATTTAATAAGCTTCTGTTGTATGCAATAAGAAGCCTTCCCACTCCCCCCCCATGCTGACGGGGG